GGTGGGGTTGCGGGGCGCCGGCCCCATTCAGTCCCCCGTGGACCCCGAGGCTGCGGGCGCCGAGCTGCCGCACGAGCAGGCCTCGAGCCCCGGGAGCCCGCACACGCCTGCACCGCCCGCAGCCAGGGGCTTCTCCAGAGCCATCGAGAGCAGCCGCGATCTGCTGCATCGGATCAAGGTGCGGGCCTAGCGGACGCCAGGGCGGCGGCTTCCGAGACAGATTTCCCGTTTCCCGACCCGCCCGGCCGCGGGTTGACGCTCTCGGGGTTGCTCAAGTCGCAGCTGAGGTCACCGGCCGCAGAGGGGACCGCCCCTTCCCCTTTAGAGAGCGAGCCCTGTGAACCCCTCGCAGGCCACCGCAAACTGAGCAGAGCCCTTGCCCCCTGTGGGCGGGGCCGGAGAGTGGGCGGGGTCTGAGTGGGCGGGGCCAGGAGGCCCAGCCTGAGAGCGCCTCTTGTGTGCAGAGACTGCACTTTTGAACCAACTAGATCTTTTCTTCTTTTCTCTTAGGATGAGGTTGGTGCACCCGGCATAGTGGTTGGAGTTTCTGTAGATGGAAAAGAAGTCTGGTCCGAAGGTGGGTTGAGCAAGTATTATTTAGTGGACTCATTTTGTTACTTAGTGAAATAAAATACTGATATTTTACTGGAGTTACAAAAAGTGGCACATACTGTAGAGACAATGTATCTGTCGAATAATCAGGCGGTTTTTATCCATCCCTGCAAAGTTAAAATGTAACTAACCGAGCTAGGAGTGCAGCTCAGTGGAATCACTTGTGTAACCTTAATGTGTAAAGCCTGGCTTCAAATCCAAAAGTAAGTAAATAATTAAAATGTTACTTAAGTAAAATGGAAATGTTCAAAATGGCTTGTTTCTTCTTCCAGTTTACTCTTAAGAGTGGATTTATTGATTTGAAAATGGAATGTAGAACAATCCATTAAATATCTACTATCACATTGTAGCCCTTGTAGATAGCCCTGATGAGTAAATAAAATGTCAGCTCCTCTATATTTTATTCTTTAATTCAGTAAGTTTTTTATTCCCCATTTTTATAAAAGGCACTATAGTAAATACTAGGGACACACAATAGCCCTTGTCCTTAATGAGTTACAACCTATAATTATTATTTTTGCAATCTGTTATTATTTTTATTAGGCAGAAGTGTTAACTGTTTTTTGTTTTGATCAAGAAAAAGCTTGAAGTGGTTTGGGATGCAGCTCAGTTGGTAGAGTGTTTGATCTTGGGCACAAGCCCTCAGTATGATCTCCTGTACCACATAATGGTATGGACCTATGGTCCCATTGCTCTGGAGGTGGAAGCTTGGGGATCAGAAGTTCAAGGTCACACAGTTGCCAGCCTGAGTCAGGTGAGACCCTGGTCCCCACTCCTATCCCACAGTTAGAAGCTTTGAGAGACGCAGTTCTATTCGTTTTGTGATAAGTTTATCAAGGCACTGTTTCAGAATATAACTTCACTGTTGCAGACAAATTGCTTCAGGTCGTCACCTCGGTTTTTAGTAAATGATATTTCAGACATTATTTAAGGAAAGCAGTAGTTTTAGAAGACATTGCTGGCGGCAGTGAGGCTCTGAACAATTACACTTCCCCTGAGTATATGTCTATTCTAATCAATATAACTAATTGGTGAAAAATCTTGTGGTAAAAAATCTAACTAGCCAGGCATGGTTACCCATGCCTATAACCCTAGCACTGAAGAGCTGGGGCAGGAGGATCCCCTTGAGTTTGAGGCCACCTGGGGTGTATACAGCAAGATTTTGACTCAGAAAGCACAACAGGGGCAGGGCTGAGGGATGACTCGGAGGTTAAAAACACTTGCTGTTCCTGCAGAGCGTCCAGATTAGGTTCCCACGTGGCGGCTCATAGCTGTAACTTCAGTTCCAGAGGATCCGATACTTAGGTCTAGCCGCTGTGGGCATACATCTGATATGTAGGAGCGTTTTTCCTGCATGTATGTCTGGGCACCATGTGCATGCTTGGTGCCCAGAGAGTCCAAACTTGACAATCTGAGGTCAATCCCAGAGGCCCATATGATGGAAGGAGAGAACCACCTCTTGCAAATTGTCCTCTGGCTTCTATATGTGCACATACATTTATGTATGTATGTATGTACATACACACACACTCACACACACAACCAGGGAGGATTATGGAGAGAGAGAATAAAAGTAATAAAAAGAATGTAATAAGTGCCAGCTTTGTAAGTGGGAGTTTTATAGAAATATTTTCATTTACCACTTTATTTTTTCAGACTCGGTTCTTTATATTTCTAACATCTAATTGCACACTTTTACCCTGTACAGAAGATGAAAACCAAACTTTGTTTTTCTAGAAGAAGCTTTTAAAAATTAGCATTATATTGTTTTTCTGCTGGTTGCAGCTGGATTTAATGGGTGGCTAGGGAATTTGACATGTTTTTACATTCATTTTATGGCTAGCTATTTTAAAGAACTCAGTGATGATACTCAAAAATGGAGAAGACTACAATATAAAGAATATGAAGAATGGTGACATTTACTTTAAAAACGGTAAATTATTTAAAATGTGGAATAGCAAGCATGATGATATAGATCTGGCTGTAACATCTATCACCCCACTTCTGGTACCAAAATCTATATTAGTCAGGTTTCTCTAGAGTAATAGAAGCTATAATATATATGTATATATATGTATGTATGTATATATGTGTGTGCATGTATGTATGTATTCTCACTGGTATGTTATACAGTTTATACTGGAATTACATTTTAAATATTTAATAGAATTATTTGGTTTCTGCTTTTGTTTCATATATTTCTTTTTCAATCTAGATGATATATATATATATATACACAGAGAGAGAAAGGGATATATATGTATACATATATACATATACATGTGTATACATATATATTGTGTGTATGTATATATAAAGGGTATTTATTAGAATGACTTACAGGCTATAGTCCAGCTACTCCAACAATGGCTGGGTATGAATGGAAAGTCCAAGAATTGCTTAGTCCACAAGGCTGGATGTCTCAGCTGGTCTTCAGTCCATGCTGGAATCCCAGAGAAGTAGGCTCTAATGCCAGTGAAGGAATGGACTTGCTAGCAAGGTGAGGGTAAGTGGACAGAGAGAGAAAGCTTCCTTCTTCCATGTCCTTCTATAGACTTCTAGCAAGAGGCTTGGCCCAGATTAGATCCAGATTAAGGGTGTGTCTTCTTGCCTCAAAGATCTGGATTAGAAAGTAGATCTTTCCATTTCAAATTAAGCAGAATCCCCTAGCAAGTGCCTCCATCTTAGTGTTTTGATTAATTCCAGATGTAGTCAAGTTGACAACCAAGAATAGCCATCACAAAACCTGTAATCCCAGATGGAAGCAGGAGTATCTTGAGTTCAAGGTATGTGGCAAGACCCTGTCTGAAAAACACAAAAAGAGGTGTAATCATCATATGTTAAGATAAGAAAAATTAATAATATCTGAAAATATCAGATGGGAAATTGTTGAGTGCCAGGTAAAATTCCAGTTCAGCTATAAACTTAAATCATTAGGCTTCCTATCATCAGTATAGGCAAGACTCTCATCCCTCCTGAGTCCAGTTTAAATATCTCATAAAAGTAGTGTGTTTTAATTGATCCAATTTCAGTGTCAGACTTTTTGCTTTATTTCCCTTGAAGGTTTAGGCTACGCAGATGTGGAGAACCGGGTCCCCTGCAAACCGGAGACGGTCATGAGAATCGCAAGCATCAGCAAAAGCCTCACCATGGTGGCTCTGGCCAAACTGTGGGAAGCAGGGAAGCTGGATCTGGACCTCCCGGTGCAGCATTACGTCCCCGAGTTCCCAGAAAAAGAATACGAGGGTGAAAAGGTAGTGGCACCCCCAGTTCCTTCACCCACTGGTATGTCACATGGTCTACACTGGAATTATAGTTTTAATAGCTAATAGAATTCTTTGGGTTCTGCTTTTGTTTCATCGATTTCATTCTCAATCTAGATGATACTCTATCTGTTGGCTACATTTCTGTAATTTAGAGCAAGGGTCTGTCTGTACATGGCCTTTTTCCGCAGCGGTCCTGAGTGGAGACTATTAGTCTTCCAAGGCTGTGGGCTTGTTATTTGCAGGTTAACACTGTAATTGAATTCATTTTTTTTTTTAATTTTGATTTTTCGAGACAGGGTTTCTCCGTGTAACAGCCCTGGCTGTCCTGGAACTCACTTTGTACAATGGGCTAGCCTCAAACTCACAGAGATCCGCTAGCCTCTGCCTCTTGGATGCTGGGATTAAAGGTGTGTACCACCATGCTGTAATTGAATTTTTATGGTTTTGTTTTAGGTTTCTGTCACAACAAGATTATTGATTTCCCACTTAAGTGGAATTCGCCATTATGAAAAGGACATGAAAAAAGTGAAAGAGGAGAAAGCTTATAAAGCCCTGAAGATGATGAAAGGGTTAATGCCATCGGACCAAGAGAAAGAACCGAAAGAAAAGGGAGGCAAGAATCACGAAAAGAGCGACTCCCCCAAGGCAAAAGCCGACCAGGAGAATGAAGGCAGGTGTCGGCACTCAAAGCCGGGCAAGAAAAAGAATGATTTTGAACAAGGCGAATTGTATTTGAAAGAGAAATTTGAAAATTCAATCGAATCCCTACGATTATTTAAAAATGATCCTTTATTCTTTAAACCTGGTGAGTGCTAACTCCCTCCCCTAAGTTGTTATTGAAGTATTCTTTCTTCAGGAAACCCAAGATGGCCATCCTGACTGCTGTCAGTAAGGTTAATGATTGTAACGGGCCAGTATAGTGTCTGCCGTGTGTGTGTGTGTGTGTGTGTGTGTGTGTGTGTGTGTGTGTGTGTGTGTGTGGTGCCCATGCCTGTGGAGGCCAGAGGACAACCTTGTATGTCATTCCTCAGGAAGAGTTGGCCTTGGTTTTTGTTTTTTACATTTTATTTGTTTGTTTGTTTATTGTGATGTGTGTGGAGTTCAGAGGACAACTTCCAGGAGTCGGTTCTTCTTCCACCATGTGGTCCCAGGGATTGAACTCAGGGCATCAGTCTTGGCAGCAGATACCTTTATCTGTCTAGCCATCTTGCCAGCCCCACCTTATTTTTGAGACAGAGTCTCATTGACTGGAGCACACCAATCAGTCTGGGCTACCCGGCTGGTCCCAGCCTGTCTCTGCCTCCCTAGGATTGCAAGTGCATCACCCTGACTATTTCATGTGGGTTCTGGGGGTTGAACTGAGGTGCTCCTGCTTGCCTTACAAGCTCTTTCCCAACTGAGCTATCTCCCTTAACAGCCAGGCAGGTAGCTGCTCAGCTTCAGTGTCATGGAAGGTTGCCCAGGCATAGAAGATGCTCGGTACCAAGATATTCACGGGAACTGTGGAGAGTGTTGAAATAATCATTCACCAAACAAAACCTCAAAGGTGGGGAGGCAAGGGTGTTGCTGCTACACTTGTATTTGGCTAGTGTGTGAAGGGCTCAGCAGCCTGTTTTATACTTTTGTTCCTTAAGAAGCTAGGGTTCATCAACTTTACTTCCCCTAAAAGCTAAACTATAAAAAGAATTGTTTTTTTCTTTGAGACCGTGGCTTACTGTGTAGCTCAGGCTGGCCTCAAATGTGGTTCCCCTGCCTCAGTCTCCCCACTGCTGAGATTACAGGTGTGCAGCACCATGCTTGGCTTTATCTTTATCTTTACTTTCCTTGAATTTACTGCGGATTGATGCACTATTTTCATTTTGAAAGTCATTTTATGGGACTGGAGAGAATGCTCAGTGGTCAAGAGCAAGCATGTATTTATTGCTGTCACAGAGAACCTGAGCTCAGTTCCCAGCACCCACATCTGGTGGTTCATAGCCACCCCTAACTCCAGCTCCTTCCTGGGACTCTCATGCCCTCTTCAGGCCTTCCCTCAATGGGCACTCAATTCCCCCGTGCACATAATTTTTTAAAATATATAAATAAAAGATTTTACTATGAATCAACATTTTTATATAAATATAATTAAGAAGGCCAATGAAAACAAAATTATGTATTTTGTATTTAAAAATAAAGTTTCTATCCATTTTTAGTATGGATCAAAAATCTTAAGAAATCAAAACCCAAAGTGAACCATATGTGTATATATTAATATTTAAGCATGTATTTGAAATGAGATTTTTATGTTTACATACATTTTATTAAAATAGTTGGGTGGTGATAGTGCACACTTTTTTGTTTTGTTTTGTTTTGTTTTTTCAAGACAGGGTTTCTCTGTGTAGCTTTGCGCCTTTCCTGGAACTCACTTGGTAGCCCAGGCTGGCCTCGAACTCACAGAGATCTGCCTGGCTCTGTTTTTTTAAATTTATTTATTTATTTATTTATTTATTTATTTATTTATTTATTTATTTATTTATTTATTTATATCTGCCTGCCTCTGGCTCTTGAGTGCTGGGATGGTGCACACTTTTAATCCCAGCACTCAAGAGGCAGAGGCAGGCAGATATAAATAAATAAATAAATAAATAAATAAATAAATAAATAAATAAATAAATAAATAAAACTCATATGCCTAGTTGTACCTTAAACACTGGGATGTATTGAGGGAACACGGCATTTATTTGATTAGGACTAGCTTGCTGTATGGTTCAATGGTTGAGCACTGGCCTACCATGTGCAGTGAAGTCTGTGTTGCTATGGAGATGGCCTGTAAAGCTTTTTCAAGGGCAAACCTAAATTCAAGGGCAACCTGTGACTCAGTTCATCCCCCCCCCCCTTAGCATTCAAAACTTCTGGGCAATCTGATAGCTAGAAGGAAAATGCCTTTAGGTACACATTTTGGAGAAGTAGCTCTGAGCCCTAATGACCTCTAAAACTCTAGTTAAGGGCTGATATCCCCAGAGACCCAGCAGCTCTGCTCTGCCCTTTAAATATCCCAATCTGTACAACAGCATTGTTCTGCCTTTTATCTGTAAAAAGAAAGCCAGAGAGTCTGTGTGTCTCTCTGCACATGTCATTCCTCTTCTCTCCAGGAACTCCAAGTTTTAGCTTTTGCCATGCTGGCCACTTGTCTGGGGATCAATCCTAGCACTTTCAATTTGCCCCCCAAAAGACAATTGATGGAGAAATCAAATTTGCTTTTCTTCCACCTTTCTATTTGATTGCCAGTTTGAAGAATTTGTTTTGTTTTGAGGTGGAATATATTTGCTTATTTTATTTTCAGATAAAAGAGCAGATTCATACAACTTTGCAGTCCCTGTGTTGATTATTATTTATTCTTGTGTCCTGGAGCAGGCCTGATTAAACATGGACGTTACAAAGTTAACTGGGTGTGTTAGCACGTCATCCATAACATTTTTAGATGTTGAAGTAAAATATTACAGCTTTAAAAGCATAACTGTTTTCAGTAGAGATATGTTTTGCATGTTTGAATAATAATCAAGCGTCTTCTTCCCTTCTCTCCACGCAATGATGTCTCAAGGTAGTCAGTTTTTGTATTCAACATTTGGCTATACCCTGCTGGCAGCCATAGTGGAAAGAGCCTCAGGATATAAATATTTGGACTATATGCAGAAAATTTTCCATGACTTGGACATGCTGACGACTGTACAGGAAGAAAACGAGCCAGTGATTTACAACAGAGCAAGGTAAACTGACACCTGCTGTGTCCAGCTGTGTCACATCTTAACATTGTGCTGTCAATTTACAAAACAGGCCATCCTCACTTCCATTCCAACATCCAGCTCCAAGGCCGCATGCTTGGAGCTTCTGTATGTGCCTGTTTTTTATGAGTAAAGTAAAGAAATAAATATGTCTGTGGTGCCCCAAGATGCTTAGTAAGCACATGATGTCTCACATCTGTGATCCCAGCACCAGGAGGATGAGGCACAGGGATTACTGGGAGTTCAAGACCCCCCTAGACTGCATAGTGAGTGCCAAGCTAGGATGGGAAGGCAGGCATGAGAACAATAAAGAAAAAAACAATCATGATTTAAGCATCTGAGTAGTTAAGCCAAAAGTCTACCTATCATGTACCTAGACAATTTGGTCTTTAAACATCTTTGCTTATTTTTAATGTTGTGTTTACCTCTTATTTTTCATTACTGAAAGTTTATTTTGAAGTAATTCATACTTAGTAAAAGTTGCAATAGTATAAGAAATTCACATAGACCTGTCATCCAGATTGCCCACATGTTATATAGTTATGCCATATTTATATTATCTGATTGTATGTTTGTGTTTCCTAAACTACTTGGAAATACTATGCAGACATGGTATTCATTACTCATAAATGCTTACATGTACATCTTCTAAAAATGAGACCATTCGTGCAGTGCAATGGTTTAATCAAATCTGCAAACTTTATTCCAATTTTGCCAATTGTTCCAGTAATGTCCTTTGTAACATACACTCACACATGCACATAGTGTTTTGTCCAAGGACTGATCCAGTATCTTGCATTTCATTTACTTGTTCTGGGTTTCTGAAGTTGCATTTCGTAAACTTGTCCCATTATTGGTAACAGTGTTTTAGTGGCTTTATTGAAGTGGTAGCAGATTTCTCTTCTATTTTTTTAAAAGATTTATTTATTTATTATGTATAGTGTTCTGCCTGCATGTTCTGCCTACAGATGGTTGTGAGCCACCATGTGGGTGCTGGGAATTGAACTCAGGACCTCTGGAAGAACAGCCAGTGCTCTTAACCACTGAACCATCTCTCCAGCCCCTCTCTGCTTTCTACATTTGTTGGTTGAAATTATATTAGAAGAAAACTATTTTCCTCCCTTATTACCTAGATGTTTATTTATACTACTATGCATTTGTAGGTTACTGTGATCAATAAGTCATAATCTGTCATTGCCATTATATGGGTAAATGGTTATCCGTTTGCATATGTTGTTTGTTTGGTTGGTTTTGGTTTTTCGAGACAGGGTTTCTCTGTGTAGCTTTGCGCCTTTCCTGGAACTCACTCTGTAGACCAGGCTGGCCTCGAACCCACAGAGGTCCGCCTGCCTCTGCCTCCCGAGTGCTGGGATTAAAGGCGTGCACGACCACCCGATGTTTGTTTGTTTTTTTGAGACAGTTTTTCTGTGTAGCCTTGGCTGTCTTAGAACATGTTCTGTAGATCAGGCTGGCCTCAAACTCATAGAGCCCCACCTGCCTCTGCCTCCTGAGTGCTAGTATTAAAGGCATTCACCTCCACTGCCAAGCATGCATATTTATATATATTTATAATTATTAGTTATGTGTATGTGTGTGTGCTTATATAATTTATGTGCAGGTGCTCATGGAGGCTAGAAGAGGGTGTCAGATCCCCTGAAAGTGGAATTTCAAGCCATTGTGAGCCTCCTAGTTTGGTTGCTGGGAACTGAACACATGTCTTCTGCAAGAGCAGTAAGTGCTCTTAACTGCTAAGCCATCTCTCCAGCCTCGTATATGTGTATATTTTTATTTTTGGAATTTTGAGACTTTTATTATGTAGCCCAGACTGGCCATGAACTCAAAATCCCTCTACCTCAACCTTCTGAGAGCTGGGATCAGAAGAAGTATATAATACTGTGCCC